CGGAAGATGTGACTGTTTGAATGCCTGAATCTCCAAGTAAAAGTAAGTCACTGTTGGGAGAGATGTCTAGGCTACGTCATAGGATAGCCGGAAGATGTGACTGTTTGAATGCCTGAATCTCCAAGTAAAAGTAAGTCACTGTTGGGAGAGATGTCTAGGCTACGTCATAGGATAGCTGGGAGATGTGACTGTTTGAATGCCTGAATCTCCAAGTAAGAGTAAGTCACTGTTGGGAGAGATGTCTAGGCTACGTCATAGGATAGCTGGGAGATGTGACTGTTTGAATGCCTGAATCTCCAAGTAAGAGTAAGTCACTGTTGTGAGAGATGTCTAGGCTACGTCATAGGATAGCTGGGAGATGTGACTGTTTGAATGCCTGAATCTCCAAGTAAGAGTAAGTCACTGTTGGGAGAGATGTCTAGGCTACGTCATAGGATAGCTGGGAGATGTGACTGTTTGAATGCCTGAATCTCCAAGTAAGAGTAAGTCACTGTTGGGAGAGATGTCTAGGCTATGTCATAGGGCCGCTGGGAGATGTGACTGTTTGAATGCCTAAGCCCCTTCCTGATTTGATTAAAACATTTCATGAATTCCTGAAAGTTGCATAAACAGTTAATTTATAATCAAATTTATATAAATAATAGTATTGTTGAAGCCTTGTTAATTGGAAGAGCTCAGCATGTAGCTGTGCGACTGGACATCATAGTGAGTTAAGTTAATAACAGACAATATGATATTTTGATAGAAAACCAACCTACTCTAAACTAATAATATTTGTGCTGTATGCTTTAAATGATTTGGTAATATGAACTATTCAGGGATTTCTGTAGGGAGTCTTCATGTAAATATAGCAATTCTGAGCTAAAGAAATGTAGTCAGTTGATTCAGCTATCTCACTTTTCAAGTCTTAAATATCTTTTTAAAGGGAAAACTGTTTCTGGGATTGCACCAGTGAATTCTGGGACACCATTAACAAGGTTATTAGTTTGTTATTTGTTTCCTATTGGCATGTTAATACAGTGACTTTTACCGCATTGTTACAAACCTTTCTACCTATACAACTGGTGGATGAATAAAATGGCCAGTAAACTAAAAACAATCCAAACATAGTATTAATCTGAGTTTTCACAGTATTTTCCTACATTTGAGAACTAGCAGTCATTTTGAATGGAATATGAGTGCATTTGTGTTAAGTATTATACAATGTCTTACAACCATTCCAGCTTAAAATATAAATACAAATTGTACTTACAATTCTAAAATAAGTACAAGACTGTCTCCCGTGGCAAATGCATCGTACAACTGCAATAGTTTTGGATGTTGTAAAATTTGCATGATGGAAATTTCATTTTCGACTTCATCTCTGTCAGCTTTGGAATTCACCTTGATAAACTTAGCAGCCAGAATTTTTTTGGTCTTTTTCTCCACACATTTGTTAACAGTACCAAATTTACCCCTGCAAAGAAAAGAATGAAATGATTGTCAGTGCTGAAAAATATCCTGGTTACATACTTGACAAAAGTTATCAAATTTTGAAAGTGGCCATTTTGAATTTAAATAATTTTAATTTAATTTAAATAGACAATGAGAAATTATGCAACTTATGTAACCTTCAGTGAAAATAGTCAAAATAAATTCCAAACGAAAATAAAGTATTTTACAGTAGAAGGTGGTAGTCACAGTAACTTTTGTCATCATAAATCGTGAAAACTTTTACAGGCAAAAATTTACAGTTGGATGAGATTTGACCTTTCAGAAATCTTGCTTGGTCTCAATAAAAAAATGTTGTATTTTAGAAGGTCTGAGAAGGAATGTACAAATGTTTGGAACATTAAATAAAAAAAATAATAAACTGAGTCAGCAGCTGTTGACAGAGTGCTGTTTCATGCATCTATTTGTTGTATATGCCTTACGTATGAATGTATAGTATTTCAGCTGTCAGCAATGAAAGCAAACAAATATGTAATAGACATTACTATTATCTCCTTAGACCAGGTGTTTGATCAATAACAGCACAAACCAAGTAGGTTACATAATTAAACCAGACTTTTGAAAAACAAGAATTTTTAATAATAAATAATTTCAGTAATATTTTGGGTATACCAATACGGAAATGATTTAATTTTTCATTGCAGACCAAGATACTCTTACTATTTTAAAGTAACTTATGACATTTCTCTTTAAAGTTAGAACTGACAAATGCTGATGTCAACTTTATTACTCATGTGAAGAGTTGTTCTGTATTTAATTCTTTACACATGTACAGTATTAAAGACATATTTAAATATAATTTACCTTCCCAATTCTTCTTTTATTTGATAAAATTCCTTTACGTTTGTATTCCTTACTTTGACATCTCTGGCCTCGAAAGCTTGCTCATCTGGTTATTACATCAAAAAGAAACAAGAAAAGAACATAAAATATAAATCTGACAGTGTGTCTGCTTTGAAAGTCAGTCACATTCCCAGCTGTGCATTACTACAGATGGAAACACATCATAGAGGCCTCCCTTATAAGGAAACAGAATGACTTCCTGTATTTTAAGACTCCGCAAATAACCATCAAGTTGAAAACAACATAATATAAACTTTATTATCTCCTACACTTTACTACATGAATGAAAAACTTTTTTTTTTCTTTTAAATTGCCAGTAGCAATATAAGTGAAACTACTACTGGAGTTACCCCTGATGGCCTACTAAGGAATTTCTCTTCATAAGTATAAGGGATATCCAGTGTCACTGGCATGGTGAGAGGCAGGACATATGTTACTAGAGATTCTATTCTATTCTTAGGTAATTTGGTTTACCAAATCACATTCATTTTTTAAAAATTATTAACATTTTAAAATTTCAACTGACCTGGTTCATCTTCCTCATTAGCTTCATCACCTGAGGAAATAAACACAAACAAATAAGCATTATGGTGGGTGTTGCTGAATGAAACTTACTGAGAATAGAAATGAAGACAACAAAATCGTCTGAACTATACCTCCTTCATCAGTAGCCTTTATTGGTTCGGATACAGCACTTGGTTTACTAGCGCCTGATGAATTAACACAGCTCACACGAAAGAGATATTCTTCATTTTCCTTCAAGCCAGTAGCTTGGTAAGATGTACTAAATACGTCCTTTGTAAGAACTTTCCACGTTTTATCTCCCTTCTTCTGCATTTCCACAATGTACCCTGTAACAATGCTACCGCCATCATATGTTGTACCTGGCCACACTACAGTGATGGAGTTCTTGGTGACTCTGCCTGAAAAGGGGCAATCTGCTGGCGGATCTGGGGGCTCTATCAAAGGAAAATAAAACAAACATTCAGATATATTTATATTAATTTTTCCAAAAAATCACATTTGAGCATAATATTGATAATAGTATACAATAAAAAATTTTTTTTAGTAAACTTAAAGCGAATGTCCAGTAGCCGGAGATATTGCTAAATACATATTCTGTTCTTTGGTAGTCTCTATCAAAGGTCAAACTTGCTTGACCTTGGGTAAAATTGAATTCCATATTTGATGAAAAGCTGAACAGTATCTTCATTAGAACTCATTAACTGAGTTTTCTATTTCCGGATCAATTGCTGAACATTTATCAGAATCTTTAGAATTGTTCATAGATTTTTACTGAAGATGGTAAAGTAGAGATACACAAGAAAATCCCCCAATACATGTAACACTAAGGAAACCACTTATAGGATAGTTTCTGAAGTCGTTCACTGATTTTTAAAAAAGCAGAAAATCTCATTACTCTCAAAATCTATTACTACAGAGTCAAAAAAATAAGAAACATAAAAAAAAATAACTTACCTTTAGTTGCCATGGTGTAATCACTTCTCAAGCTGATGAGAAAAAGAAGATTTCTGACGTTAATGAGATAGAAACTTGGTATTGGGATGTTAACAGAGGCCCGGCTTTATGTGCTATGGGGAGAGACTGCTACTCGGGTTTCTGAACCCTGGATGGCGAAAAAATGTCAGCAATTTATCATCATGGCCACCATATTAAAATGAATTAAATCACATAAACACCAACTAAAGTATCTTCTCGTACTTGCTTTCTGAATTGAAAAGTCACTTCAAACAATCAACAGCAACAATTGGTATGTTTGGGTTCCGAAAGTTAGGATAGTTTCAGATTAAGTCTGGAATGGGACATTCCATTGATATATAGGACAGAGACAAAAAGTACAATGTCCTTTTAAAGTGGACATGTTAAAAGATTTATCAAAAGCTGATTGAAAACAATTAAACTCCACAAAACTATCAAATGAAGATCATTCAGAGGAGACAGAAGTAAAAATGAACAAAGGCTGTGTTTTCTTTTAACATACCAACCCCTTAAAACAAAGAAGAGTCACCTAATAGAGTGTTTGGAATATCTCCTTCAAGGAGTGAATCAAAGCGGCAGTCAAACAATTAATAGAAAGTATCAGCACAGATGTAAAATGAAGGGAATGGAGGAAAAGAACTTACATTTGTTCAGATAGAAAGCAGCTACTGCCCAAAGCCCCGTATCAATTAACACAAAACTCTGGCACTGAATGTCTGAAGCCAGCTAATGTGTCCCTGGTTAGCAATGCCCCATGGGTAGCTCACAGATTATAATTACATTTGCATATGAAGGAGAATATTAATTAAAACAAAGACAAAAGAAAACAAATAATGTACCTGTGGGGCAGTAAAGCTGTACTGTTCTTCTCTTTGAACGTGTCACCTAAAATTTAACAACAATGATTTCTGTAAGAGGAGAATTGCCTAGAAGACCTAGCCCAAAATTAAGATAAATATGTTAATAAGGTATCATGTGATTGGCAGCATGCCATGTGATGTGACATGGAGGCCTGATGACGACAGCAGTGATGCCATTGTGGGATTGGGTGTTGGAATCTCTTTTCCTTCCACTACCATATTTGGGTTTAGATTCATAAACTAAAGCTGTGACATGTAGCCCCCCCCCCCCCCCAAACCATACCAAAGAAACACTCGGGGAAACTACCTTCTACGCAACCAATTAAAAGTTATGATACACTTATGGGTAAATAGTGACTCCTATTTATCAATGGGCTTTCTATTAAATCTGAGTTACAATTCACTAGTGGAAACATTGAGTTGAGATGTTAGAGTTTATGCTGATTGAAAACAGAAGTTGGCTGACTCTATAATCCTGTAATTTGAGATGACACATATAAATAGATTAAGAACTGTCAGTAATAGTGGATTAAACAGATGTTTAAATACTGCCACCCCACTTTTATTTGCTTCTTGCTTTTAGTAAACAAATGAACATCTGTAAGGATGAGTAGGCTCTATCTTTGGAACGGTATTTCAGATTTTTATTTTCAAAAAAAAAAAAACATTTCTCATATTGTTACAGCCTCAAAACATGAAAAATATACAAAATGGACAGGTTATTTCTAAAATTAAAGCATGGATTCTCTAGGATAGAATAGAATAGAATAATGCTTTATTACATCCTTAATGAAATCTGACATTACAGTTTTGTTAATTGCTGTATCAAAGCTTTTTAAAATAAACTACAATTAAACTACACATACAATACAATGATAGATTTTAATTAAACAACAATTGAAGCAATTGAGGTGTTATATTATTTTACTTTATTCTGTTGTTGTTTTATATTCATCTTTCACTTCTGTGATTGTATTTTTTTATCTGTAATTAATATTTTAATAAATAGAATAAATACTGTTTAATTTACTATGGAATATATTTTCATTATTTTTTAATTTGATGGCATTTTTTAAAGCGAGAGGGTCGTCAACTGCGCACGCGTGGGAATTGAGTCCCAAGCGACCTTAACAACACATTTTATTTTACTAACATTTTATTTTTATCTCTTATGTATTGTATGTATTTATGTTCCTTACCATACAAAAACCCTCTGAAGGTTTTTTAGTAGTGTAATAAAGTTATTATTAAGTTATTATTAAAAATGCAAAGGCTCATGGGTAGACACTTGTTTGTAAACAATGACACGCTATGGCCATCTGATGCATGCGCAGGTGATGACTCCCCCGCTTCAACATTTTTGTTTGGTAGTCTACATGAAGTGTTAAGCATAATTACTTACAATTGCAAAAGAGAATAATGGTCCAATACATTGATAAATAATTCATATTTTAATGCAATCAACTTTTGAAAATTGAAGCAACTGAAACTTTTTTGCGACACAAACCAAATAGTTCACAACAAACATATTTAACTTCCCCAAATTGTTTTCATTAGCTCTACATTTGAAAGTGATGAAAACTTTTGTTTTTTAATTGGAGAGTGCTTTTGTGCCTACAGTTTCTATACACATAAACACAATTCAAGTTATACATAATGGTTTACTATAAATAAGCATATCTATTTAAATAATTATTTATGATTTTATTAGCTAGAAATTATGTTAGATTTAACAGGTTTCCAGTTTAATTGTGAGATTTGATATTTCTTTCTGAATAACACCACATATTTGTGTTGCCTGTAACTTCTAATCACACACACTATTCAGATGGCAGTTCATGTCAAGTGATTTTGCATAAGCATACACATTTCAAAAACACATCTAAAGCAAATGTTTTTATTGCAATGTGGTTGAATAAGTTAACCTTTAAGTAATGAGAACTGCTGATTTAAAGGCCTACTTAGGATTCTGTTGACAGGAAGTAATCCAAGTAATCCCTAGATTTCAATCAAGATTGGCCTTTAAATCAAGAGGATTAGATAATAAACAAGATTTTCTATCATAGGATTTTTTTCAAGATTATCCTTGCTTTGTTTTAACCAACCCTTTGAGAGTCAAAGTCAACTTATTTCACCATTCACAGAATAAAACACACATATAATGTTTACCAGCATTTTGATCAAACCAATAGAAAATTATGTCAGTAAATTAAGTAAAATACATTAAAATATTCTAACAAAATTTAGATGGAAATATATGGAACTCAAAAGTATTGCGCTGTAACTGGATTGATTTTGTATTGAATCCCCAAATTAAGTGAGCTTCACGGGTAACTGCAGGGGAGAGAGAGAGATTCAAGAATAAAAATTATATGTGGCTATAGGGAGCTGCTAAAAGCAAAAACTAAGCCATTGAGGGCCATTGAGCTATTTTCTCTGTTTTCTTATTTTGTGAGTTACATTTTACCAAATCACAATCTATTTTTTTAAGGTTGCTAAATCAACTTATAATTTTGTTGCATCATCGCAGATTTCAGTCCACTGCAAGAGCTTATAGGTTGCATGAAAAATGCAGACTGCATGTCTGCCACGAAAATTTAATGATCTGATTTTGAACTTGAATTTCTTTTGAATATCAAAATACTGATACTTCATTCACCATCAAATGCATATAGCATATTGTTAGGTGATGAAATACCCTAAAAATACTTCACCCTCACATGATATTTTGCTGTCACTACAACACTGGGACTTTTGTTTGTCCTGCTTTTAAGTTTGATTTCATGCATTATGTGGGTCCTTCCAGTGAACAAAAATTGGTCTATTAGCAAGCCAGTGAATAGGTATAAAGAATTTCGTCACGAAATATGACTGCGTCAATGCTGTGTTTATGCGTTAAAATGGTATAAACTTCATTTTTTGTCAACTTTGTTTTTTTTTCAATTTATGTATTACTGAGCCAAAATAACCTTTGTTGGTCCAAACGATCACATGGGGATAAAATGTTACACCAAATAATTTGGGCCGAAGCCGAAATACAGAATAGGATTATGCAACTAAATGATGTGTTTTGCATCTAACACAGTACCGGTAACTTTGAACGAAGCTAATGTATGAACTGTTTACCAAATCTAAAAGAACATTTTAAAACCAAACATAAAAAAATACAATGAATCAAGGATAAAATGACCACTGTGTACAACAGGGTCCATAGCACCAAAAGTCAAATGATTTCCATAACTTTTCCAGACCTTTTCCCACACTTTCTTGCATTTTTCCAAGACATTTTGATCCTTAATTCAGGCCAACATCATCACCAAAGCTCATCAAAGTTCTGAGGATATGGTAGTTTCCTGGAGAAAACGGGCCTTTCTAAAAATGAATTAATAACTATGAAGAAATTTAACAACTTTTCAAAGATTTTTTTTATTTTTCCTGTAATTTAAAGACAACTCAAAGACCTAAAAAAATCCAAAGACTTTCAAAGGATTTTCCCATCAAATTAGAATCAAATTGTTTCACAGGGAAGCTTGACCACAATATTTTTTCCAGTGAATGCATGTATTTTAGCAGATAGTTTGAAAAAAAAAGTAAAAAAAAAAGATATGTAGTTGCAGAGCATTCACTATAACTTTAATAAATGAAGCCCTATGTATGTTGTACTACTCCCATGGTGCATCTCACTTACACCAGCAATTGGATTAGAAATACAAAGGAATCAGTCCAGTCCAAGTCAGTAATTGATGAATTAAGTCACTGTTTAGAAAGACAAAGGAATGTTTATATAACAGTCCAGCTGATGTCAACATACCATCACAACAGGAAGTAGTGCACCATATAAATGAATTGCTCCATGGGAGTTCCACCATTTTGTAGTGCTTCATAACAGGGTCTTCGAGTAACCGTGTTCATAATAAACTAAAGCTACTAAAAACTTGCAACCTACTGTAATCTAATTGCTGTGTTTTCTTTTCACTTATTTCACTGGCAACTAGATGCAACAAATTAATGAGTGAATAATCAAAATTAACAATAGATGTTTTGTTTTATACACAATTCAGTGAATTTAAAACCCAGTGAATATCTAGTGAACATTTCTTCCTTTGCAGTACTCTCTAAGAAGCAGTACGGGGAGTAGGGGGAGGGGTTAATCCGAAACAGCATTGTAATTTGTTTGTGATATTTTAAGTCTTGTTCCTCGATAGTGTTTGCATGCTGACATTGTAATTATTTTTGCTTTTCCACAAAGTTGGTGGGTTGACAAGCTGACTGCCATCTGCTGGAGTCCTTAATCACTAAAATAAAGTTTAGATTTAGTCCATATGCACTGATTATGTCAACATTCTGAATACTAAACTGATCACTGACCTGCTAATATAAACTTTGTTTACATACTAAGGAGTTTGTTTATTAGATACTTGTGGTGCTTTCTATAAATAACTTGACATCAACAGACGTCATTCAATCTGATCTGCTACGGATGCCACAAGACAATAAGTAGTTCTCATTACATTTAATATTACGAATGAATGAACCACCACATATATCATTTATCTAGTAATATTAATATTCAATATTACACCACAGGACTGCATGAAGACACAATCTGAGGATTCCAGCAGATAGTCTAATGTGGTTCTCATTACATTTAATATTACATATTATAAACTAGGAATGAATAAACCATAACATATTTCTGGTAATATTAATATTTCATATTCCATATCACAACTATATAATCTGATAATTCAAGCAGACAGTCTAAATTTATACTCTGTAATAGGCAATATGTTCTGTACGTGAGTGAACCACAAAATTATGCCATCTATCGTTACGACACAAATATAAAATGGGTTCAGTTTCAGCAGATTTGATATTTCGGAAATATTCACAAGATTTTAAATTCACTGATTTTTGAAGGAAGGACTAATTAATATGGATGTCACCAAAACAATGTCAACTAAACTCAAGTCTTGCGCAAGTCTCCCGAACATTGTGTACTATTAACGTGAGTGGCGCCCTCTCACCGCAGGTGAATTATAGGTTTTATTTTTTAATTAATTAGTAACAATGTAGTAATGCAGAAACATAATTCTCCAAACTAAATCATGTCTTACTGTTTAATTATCCCAAGCTTTACATGCAGGATGCACCTCAAACTTCTATTCACACCATTACCAGTTCAATCAGAAAATGACGCAGAAAATGAAAATTTGTTCGGTTTTGCATTATCTTTTTAATTTTAGGATTGGTTTCTATGGTGACAGTATTTATATACAACAAGAAATATTGCTTGGTGAGATTGGAGGAATGTTTTATTCTTATTCTTATGAATACTGACATTGGTATAAATTAAAAAAAAAATGTAATTTAGAAAGTTGTGTGATAATCATTTCCAATATTAAATTATTCAATGTGAAAGCTCTATCATGCTCAGTTCCCCAAAATTCATGCCATGAAATTTTAACTTTGATAGCGCCCTCAAATTTCAAAGATTTATAAAGCATAAAGCATAAATTTACCGATTTGAGAACCACACAATCTTTCAAACTGTATTTCTATCTTGATGTTTGATGAAGACACAAAAACCCAAAGACATGCAACGTCTGAAAATTTGACTTGTGCAATGAACCAGAAACTATAGAAACCTAGATTTTCTCCTTTGTTTGTAATTAGAGTTTTATATTTAACATAAACTATTTTTAGATTGCTGAGAGTGAGTAATAATACTGAAAGACTTTCTTGCCCAAATTTTTCTGCACTTTTTTCTTATATTCTTCAATATTTCTGGAAATGAACCCTAATTTTGGAGCCAAGAGATAAAATTTGAGTTAATTTTCAGTTTTTACTCAAATTTTTTTACCAGTTTTGTCCCAATCTTCTGAAGGAAAGCGCAGACTATAAACGGGACTAACTTGTAATGAAAAGAGGGAACTGGGGTGAAACAGCACTTTGCTTGATAAGCGTTTGATGGCATGAAAAATCAGATAATCTGGTTGCCATAGATACAACGCCTCCTTAGGTTACCATGTGCGTGAAATAACCAGCTATAATTATAAATGTGCGTGGAAAGCCGTCTACTTTCGGACAAACATATTTCATGAATTAGTGGATATAATTTCATTGACTGATGTGGCATTTGATTTGTGCCATACTTGACATCAGTTAAAAAATAAATGAACTGATTTGTATAACTATAATTTGGCTATAATGTAGACTGATACTGTTACCTATTCTGGTGTAAAAATCTTAGATGACGTCAATGGCCATCTGACTCAGCCTCGAGAAAAACATACCAATCTAGTGATACCATAGGTTATGTCAGGATAACGAGGTCAACAGATTTATACGTACAATTGTTGCTTTTGAACATTTTTTATTCCAGACATGGAATTTGAAAACTTTACATGGTACAGAAAGAGGAGAGTACATTTATAAAAGATGGACATGTGAAGTGATGGATCAGAATTCGTTGGTGAGAAGATTTAGTTCCTGCTATATTTTAAAGTTTATTTTATTTTTTAAAGTTTACCGTAAATTCAATGGTACAAACATTTTTTGTTGAAATTTTGACAAATATTTTGAACTTTCAGGAACACATTTTATGGAGAAAATATTTTGGACAGGACATTTGCTGGAAGGATACACTATTCGACAATGGTGGTGAAAGGGTTAAACCAATAACCACCTCTACTGAATTGTATTCTTACACCATTTACAGATCTCTAATTCAAGTGAATGAACAACAAACATAATTTAGAAATAAAGTAATAGGGGAAATTTCTAGACAAATCAGCAGACGATAAAATTAGATCATCTTATCTAAGATAATTTCACCAATTGTGAAATACTTTTAACTGCAATTTATTTTTGTTATTTGCACAAAAATATCAACTATAGATTGTATGGAATTTGTGAGAATGACAGAGAAAAAATAACTTACACATCCCAACTCTAAGGCGAGACTTTTATTATCCCTTGTTTCGCGAACCCGCCGAATGAACAGGAGCCGAAAATGAAATGAAATTATAATTTTATTTCAGTGTAATTTCTCGCGCCCGCCGACTTGTAAGCGCAAAAAAATGCTAAAAAAAAATTATTTTTATCTTCATTTTTTTACCGCCCGCCGAATAACAAATCCAAATTGCATTTTCGTGGGAGTATTATGATCAAAGTACCGAAGTCTCGCGAAGATGAGAAACAAGGTTATACATGGAACAACATTTTAATTCATTTCTGCTCTCCAATCAATGATCTCACTAACATTTTTTGAGAATCACACAAATCTAATGGAAAAAAAGAATTAATTTTATTTTTTTTCCACCCTCCTCAAAAAAATTGTCTTATAAAAACTCGCGAAACAAGAAATAAAAAAAGTCTGGTCTAATGAGACCCCAACAAATGAGATGAAGTAGTTGTAGTTCCAGTACGAAGGCAAATGAATTTGAATTTTATTTTTCACAAGCAAACAAAATAATTATTTTCCCTTAAGGAAGACTGAGGAATGGAAGAGGCAATCCTGGTGATTGATGACTATTTACTCAATAGTTTATAGTACTTAGTGTGGGGCAACTCACAGCATATCTTATACAATATCTCTAATCAGTAAATCAGACAAGTAGATATTTTTCAAATCCCCTGGGTG